TGTGCTGGTAGGCTGATTGTGTTAGATGTGACTGTGTGCTGGCAGGCTGATTGTGTTAGATGTGACTGTGTGCTGGCAGGCTGATTGTGTTAGATGTGACTGTGTGCTGGCAGGCTGATTGTGTTAGATGTGACTTTGCTGGCAGGCTGATGGTGTTAGATGTGACTTTGTTGGCAGGCTGATTGTGTTACTTGTGACTGCTGGTAGGCTGATTGTGTTAGATGTGACTGTATGCTGGTAGGCTGATTGTGTTAGATGTGACTGTATGCTGGTAGGCTGAATGTGTTAGTTGTGACTGCTAGTAGGCTGTTTATATATATATGTGTGTGTGTGTGTGTGTTAATTCTGACTGGTAGAAGTTCATTCATTGTTCTGAAGTGGAACAGTTGATAGTAATATTTCTGTAGTACCTAGTGGGGTTTTTTTCTAAACATTTTTCTGAAAAGATAACAGCACTTCTGCTCAATCTTTATGTTTTGATTCATAAAAATGGCTTATTTCTTATATATTTAAAATATTTTATTATAGTAACTGTTAAAAATTGCCTTTTAAAATGTTTCTTTATCATGTTTTGTTCTTTCATTGTCAGACATGGCCGTACAGAACGTGATCGGAGACAGTTTCCGTGGTGCCACCTGGGTAGCTCTGCACAATGGCGGGGGCGTGGGATGGTTAGGTTTTGTTTCATCACATTTTAAAACAATTACTGTAGATTTGTTCACTATTGTATACTAAGGGAAATATGGACTGTGGTTTTAGAAAACTTTTTATTATTATAATTATTATTTTATCATTATCATTTTTAATTCCATTATTAGCTGACTTCAGTTTGAATATATCTGGCATGACACATTCAGTAATCTTTAACTGCATATATTTTGTTTGGTCACATTTTACAAAAGAGGGTTGAAATATTTACCTTCTTCAGCTTGACTGTTTACTCAAGTAAAACATTCGCTATTTGTTCATTTATGTAGAATTTTACCATTTTCTTTAATGTTTTGCTTATTTGAAGAAGGTGCAGAGGACTAGGTTAGCATATAGTAACAGTGAAATTGCTTCACCTTCTTTACTACGCTTAAAATAGGTTTTTGTTTTATTGGGTCACCATGTTCAATACAGAATTACATTTCTCCTTTTCTCGTTATTTCAGGGGAGAGGTGATGAACGGTGGGTTTGGGCTTGTCTTGGATGGCTCTGAGGTAACTGCTGTTTGCTTATAATTCCTATAATTTTTAAAAACATTTTCATCTATTTTGTTCCCCAAAGATGAAATTTACGTTTATGTATTCAAATGCTTAACAAACAGTGACATCATGAAGTAGGATTATGTTCTTTTTATACATTTCTTTAGGATGCCGGAGAGAGAGCAAAACTGATGCTGGGGTGGGATGTGTCTAATGGGGTGAGTGACATGCCTCTAAACACACTCATCATGTAACACGAGTGTCATGTAACATCGTCATCATGTAACACGAGTGTCATGTAACATCGTCATCATGTAACATGAGTGTCATGTAACACAGGTGGTATGTTACATTGTCATCATATAACACAGGTATCATGTCACACATATACATTATGTAACAGCAAGTATCATGCAATATTGATTGTTATACTAGCATGTTGATGTACGTTAATGTGATAATTCATATTCATACATATATGTCACAAACCATGTTATATTTTTGAAATAATAATATATACTTCTATTTCTTATTTTTAGTTAACTCTATCTCCTTCGATTTCTGTTTCTTTTCTTCTGTCTGTTTTATTCCTTGTTTCCATTTATCCCTATTAGACGTTCTGGTTCCTCACTGGTTTATGGTCCAGGTCCAGAAAACTGTTTGTTCACACTCACTTTACTCACTTTACTCTCACTTTACTTTCTGCTATCAACCACATATTCCCACTTTGCATGTAAATAATTTCTTTTCATATTTTCATTTAATTTGGATAATAGTTTATTATATAAGTTTTATTATTCAACTATTAATATGTTAAGATATTATATATATTTTTAAACTAGTATTATAATGATTTAATTTAGAATACATATATATTAAGTTTACTTCATTTGTATTTCATTGTCAACCATATCTGACTTGTTTCAGGTTCTTGTATGTATTATGGAAAAATGAAAAACAGAACCTTTAAATATTTTGTCTTATCTTAAAAATAAGTGTGCCCAATTTCTACACTGCTATCACATAATATCATATATATGGTATCATGTTCTACATTGTGCTGCTTCTAACTCACCACAGGTTGCGCGGCGTAGTTGGTCTGGAAATGCTTACGCAGAGGAGACGATCTGCCGTGCCATGGACCAAAATGAGCGTCTCAAGGTCACAGTACCCTACCATGTGCAGGATGAGAGCATCCTAGACAGGGCATTGAGAGAATGAGTCATTTAATAAGGCACCAAAGCTGTATGTAGGTCAAGGTCAGTGTTGATTATTGTAAAGGTCATTGACAATAACAAGACCAGTGCTATGCATGGATATTAAGTTAAACTGTATTTGTATACAAATTAGTCTTGAATGATACAACAGTCTGGAAGTTTAGTACTAAAAATGAAGTATAAGACAGTATCTGTCCAAAGACTGACCTCATTAATACAGCTGTTCTAGGAGTAGCATGTATGACAGCAGTTGTCCATTGTGCAGCCAAAGGTTACCCAAGATTCTAGATTTCAGTATTGCCAACTCCATCTTGATTTCATATATTACCCACAGCAGTTGTCCATTGTGCAGCCAAAGATTACCCAAGATTCTAGATTTCAGTATTGCCAACTCCATCTTGATTTCATATATTACCCACATCAGCAATACCGTAAAGCTAATGTAGGAAAGGTATAGTGAGCAAGCTTTATAGTGCCCTGACTCTCAGGGTGTGAACATTTAAAATGTGGGCCCTTTACCCCTCCTTGGTGAGCTTGTAGTGAAGACTTCCCAGAATAGACGTACATTTGATTGCAGCTGTCATGTCCATGAATATGAACCTTTATGCTACTGCAAGTTATATACATGTATAATTATACTGTAAAGTTATCTGATATGCTCAATTTATAAATGATTCCATTTTTGATGTATTGTTAGCTTCATTATTATTTGCACATATGCCAGATTAAAAAAAATATTTATTTTACTTTCAATTTAATTTTTATTATTTATTTTAGTTGTTTATTTACATGCATTTAATTTGTAAACTTAATGTGAAAATTGCATAATTATGTTGGAAACAGTGGCGTACATTCATATCAATGATCTGTTTACATATATTGTTTACAATATCTTTACACATTTTTAGTAAAATCCACTTATTTTGTGTGCTTTATAAATATTTTTGTTTTGTTGGTAAACAGTGTTTTTTTAAGTTTGAGCTCATTGAAGTTTGAAGTTTAATGCACTTTGCACAAATTGTCAAACTATGGTTTTTACACTTGTTTTGTATTTATGTGGTTTACAATTGTGTGCCATGTCACGAGTTTTGACACATGGAGATGTACTTTATACGCGTTGACAGTGTCACCTTTTTTAAATAACTCATTATTTTAATTTTTCTTAAGATTGATATACCCAAGTATTAACACCGCTATCAATCATGGTATACCAACATTAGCAAATGATAAGGAGCCTTTGCTTAATGTAAGTGCTATATTTTACTATTGAGTTCATTGTATAACAATAAATATTCACAAATACCAATGTGTTGTCCAGTATTACTTGTAATGACATAGTTAGAGTCTTCAGTTGGAAATGCTGACTGCAGTACACAAGACACACCTGGTGTATCCAGACACAAATGAATATTTTACTGTGAAACACATCTTTGATGGTCCCTAATAAATACAATATACGATGATAAAACAGCGTTATTCTTGACTTTGAGACTGAACAACACATTGCTATAATGCCCTTTAGGACCCAATACGAAGTTGGCTCAAAATTTTATCCTTTCTTATCTCAACTTCTGATAGAATTCCTATAGAGTCCCACAGAGTCTACATGTATAGGGTTCCTATAGAGAGAGACTCGAATAATTTACTTCCCAGGCGCCATTTTAATATTTGTGTCACATTAAATTAAGGTACGTTTTTGAAAAATATGTCATGGATAATTTAAAATTGCAAAATTGTTAGCATGTCCTCTTATATACAGGGGTATGAAATTTCAGATTCAAAAATCAAAATGCGTTATTCATACTGTAAAGCTTTTTATCTACATTTTCACAATTACAGAACCATCTTTGAAGTACACAAGGTTTCCTGTTTATGTCTGAGCATCTTTGGAATATGTCATTTTATATTTTTTTGTACTTTGATTGTATCAAGTTGATCTGATCATCTAATTTGGCACATGGACTTTCGTACACACTGTACGTTAAGATATCATTAAGTTTTGTTTTCATCCGGGATTCATACTTGTTCAAATGACAGTGGCAATCTTTAATACATTTTTTAGTCGATGTGTTTGCCGCTAAGATGCTAGGGTCACCTCGTTTAATCAAAATACGCCTTAGAAGATTGACTTTCCCAGACTGCAACGTAAGGATTCTGAAAGGAAAACAGAATAATTAGCAACCGCTTCTTGTGAATTTCAAAGAATGCCAGACAAATAAATTAGATTTCAGACAAATAAAATACATTTTTACCAGACGTGGTACAAGTTTGGTTGTTTTCTGTGAAAAGTGGTCTGCTTTCATTACTTTGTACAGGTGACATTTGTTCCTCATACTGACCCGGATATTTCCAGTTCACCTCAACCTGTACTTACAAGGTATCATATGAGACCCGGACTTCCATAATATTCCTAAGAATTCCCTTCCTGTCATGGCGGATACCCTCAGTCAGATCGAATTACGAGGTAAGATCAAAAAGTTCCCGCCCTCTAGTAATTTAGAATACCTAGGAATGAAAAGTTGGCTTTTACTTTTCAATATAATCTCCCTTCAGCTTGATGCACTTTATCCATCGCTGTTTTAATTTACGTATCCCTTCTAAATAGAAGTCTTCATCCTGGTCCCCCAAGTACATTGTACTCATTTATTGCATCTATGACGCCTTCATTGCTTCCGAATTTTCTACCACGAAGGTTAGTTTTCAGTTTTGGGAACAGATAGTAGTCAGAAGGGGCTAAATCAGGACAATATGGGGGATGAGGAAGAACTTCGAAGCCGGATTCAGTCGCGGCAGCCATGGCAACTTGCGACGTGTGAGCATTCTCCATTTTGTCAGTTTTACGCACCCTTCTCGTCTTTACAGAGACTTTCTGATGTAATAATAAGCGTTGTAATCCTATTCTCTCAACCAATGACCTTCAATTAGATAAAATTATCGACTGATTTGGATTATCTGTCAATGTATTGAATCAAAGTATATTAGGCCGAGAACTTGTTGATTATACCTCGTAGATTAATATTTAAGGTATTCTGTATGCGTTTGAATATTTACAAAAGCCATATTTTCTGTTTTTACATTTCTGCAAAGCTAATATTCTTTCCCAATTCATACCTTAAAAACTAAATTAACTCAGAAAATGTACCTGGTGTCGATCTTCTTAAATATACAGGCCAGTTACTAAGAATTAAGTCATTGTATTACAAATGATATAAAACATCATATCCAAACGCAAGGACGGGCAGAGCTGTGATTTCTTAGGAATCTCGAGGAAAATTAATGTGGGCGGGGAAATCCTTCAATCCTTAATAGTACCTTTTATAGACAATAAGGGAAAACTGACAGCATCAATAAAATGAATTTAAAGTTGTTGATGTCGATATTACCGTGATTATTTAGTGTTGTCATCAAGGAACCATGAAGGTGTGCCAGCTATGTAAGACTTCCCCAAGTCTATGTAAAAGGTCGATCGCTGGATAAATCAATAAAAATAATTCAGCGAATAAATGACAAATGGTAAACTTAAAAGCCTCGAGTATCGTCCAAAGTGGTATTCTATCTTCACTTTTCTTCAAATAAACTAATCAGAGAGGTAACGTAGAACAATTTCATTGCTTGTGACTCGGGCTGACGCAACTTTGGAATGTTGGCATACAGTGTGTGTGTGTGTGTGTGTTTTGTTTGTTTGTTTGCCCGCACGCGCACACGCGTTCGAAATATACAAGTGCTTACTATGTCTTATAATGTATCTGATTGACATAAAGGAAGAAACAACTCTTCCTAGTAAAGAGTTAGATAACATGAAATAATTTTCTATGAATAATTGCACGTCACTTTATGTTGAAATCAACGGTTTTCAATCTAAATGTAGATTGGAATCGTTTCAACCATTAGATATAATAGCTCGCAGCGCCAGGTGGTAGCTGTGGCATATGGTAAACATCAAAGGCGGTAATGTTGTAGAAATGATGTGTTCCCGGGGCAGGTGATTGCTGTCTGGGACCTCCTAGACACAAGGCGGCTTTAATCAGTTCTTATTTACATCATTGGCAAATGATTTCATAGATAACAAGGAATAATGCATTTTCTGTCCAAAGAAAAATTGCATTTTGATCCCCCAGTTTTGGTGAGGATCCGCTATCGGATCAATTTTCCTGAAACTCGTATCCCAATGGAAGTAAAATTGAACAGATATCAAGAAAGTACAGGAAACCGCCCAAAGTACAAACCTTGATTAAGCATATTCAAACTGACTATTCTCAATTCCTTGGGAATTTTCTTTGGCTATTTTAAGACTCTCTGCTTGAGTGCATAAAACCTGTGTAAAGGAAGACGTTTTCAGAAAAAATATCCGGTATTAAGAGTACGTTGATAAAATTTGTAAAATTCAAAGTAACTAATGTGCCATGAGGCCTACTGTCCGCGTGATTTGGTCTTTTTTCCCCTAGCAGGAAAAAGAAATTGAATTGCTTTGAATTCCATAATTGACGCTTAAAGGGATAATAATTCTTCGTATGAGATCTATATTTTATAAAGTGCACAGGTAGCCACTAAAACGTTGGCACAATGTCCACAAAACAGTCTACAGCCTGACCAATTGAAAGCTAGTTGGAGCTTACAGCCAAGCGAATCACGTGGCAGGACAGGTTCAGTAAGGCGAACAACAACCACAATAGCAGCGTTTGTCATGCAGTTTGTCATGCGGTCGATAGGGATTTCACGATGTTGATTAAACAATTCTATCCTTTGATCTTTGCGTTATCACTGAAATAAGCTGTAGAAATAGAAAACCTCAGCCGTTATCTTAGGGACTATCCCGACTTTCACTTTCGTTAGTAATTCCAACGTGTTCAACTTATTGAAGGCGGGCATCTGTCATGAAGTGAAAATCTCCGTGGAGTTAAAGAAAGTGTCTGTGACCAAATTATTCATTACAAAGTTAACTGGCAGTGACATCCCATCGCCTTAAGGGGAGGAGTCATAAATGTTCTTAAATAATAAGTTAATTAGCGTTAGACCTTTAGAGCAGTGACATGACCTGTGGTGTTGGCGCTAAATGGTCAAGGAATTATATTAAGGTTAGCTGTGATATCGCTGCATTGTCTATATGACTGGCAGTCTTAGCACCACCGCTACAACAGCCAGTGATGGTTGTACGCCGGGGTCGTACACATTATAGGTTATATGTACTGAGATATCAAACTAAACTATACAGTTTTAATTAATTGATTTATCTGTATGCTTACGTCAACAAAACATTCACACAAGACATAAAAATGCAATTTCGTTTTACAAAATGGACACATGTTCGCTTTCATCACATCACAGCTTAAGATTTTTGTCTTAAAGGCAAGCCATCTTTATCCAAGTAGGTTGTTCTTTTGCACCTGCATGGAGTCATAGAGAATGTTCAAAGTCGAATGCAATGAATTCTTGATCATGTACGTGTGACGTATGTTGTGTGCAGTTGCCATGGTGATAGCGCACCACGCGGGGTCTTAGCTTGAGGTCTGTCATTATGGCCGCCAAAACTCGAAAATCCATCAGCAATCTGCTTTGCCAGTTTTCTTTTCTTTTTTTCTTTTTTCAAGAATAATATATAATGATCGTTAATTCTAGATGCTGCGCTCCCTCCCCGCAAATATTCGATGGATCGTAGACATGAAGAAATAAGTCAGACTCCTTTGATCCCCGCTTGTTCCACCCCTTTTGTCTGCACATGACCAAGGGTGCTTTCCCAGAGATTTAGATCGATCTAAAGATTAAGATTTAGATTGACCTAACTCCCTGGGAGTTCACGCTAAATTGCAGTCAGCCGAGCGGGCACCATAGTTAATTACCCCCTTACAGCTGTTAGTAGGCGGGACAGACGCTTAAGCCGGCCAAGCTAACAGTAATCTAGTGAGACTCCCCACAGGGATAGATCGATCTAAAAATCTATGGAAATGGGGTGCAAGTCCTGGATGAGCTTGACACAATACGCAACACGTGACTGAGGACCGTTAGCACAGAGCTGAAAATTAAGTACAATTTACACCCGTTTTATAAAACGCAGTGAAAACACAACAACCGGCAACCTTAAGTATGGATGTGAAAAATCATTTGCATTGAAAATTATCCTATTTTATTATATTATTTTGTTATTATAAAATGGAGACAATGCATTAACAGGGACCTGAGAAACGACTGCGCATACGTTATATTGCCACACTATGGCAACGTCTGCTGGTGGTTTGGCGGTAATATAGACACGTTTGACATAAGGGTGTTCATTACGATGTTTTATGCGAGCACACTCGCGTGCGTGTGTCTGTATATATTTTCATCAAAGTGTCTGGCCATGTCGCTGATCCATCAGTCCTTATACCTGTCCAGCCGTTGTTTTGTTTTGCTTTTTAGAAATATACTGAGTAGCACTGTTTGGAAAAGACATGGAAAATCAGAATGGACGGATTAACATTTCAAAAGCTGTCGCCCTCTTCAGTTTATTTATTAATGTATTTATTGATTTTGTAAATATTGTTGCTATACAGTGTATGTTTTTGTTGTTTGGTATATGAATCTACACTGTCTTGTTTATGTTTATTATTATAAATAAACTTCGAATTAGACATGCCGACAGCCTTATTTCAGTATGTTTTTTGTTCAATTCGATGATCTTCATTTAACTCTTTTACTTCTTCCAACAGATTTTGCAAATTTAAACCATTTTGCAATCTAGGTTAATTTACTCGTATTTTGTAATACAAACATTCAATAAATTCACTTGTGTCGAGATAGCGTAACTCACGCCCTTCTTTTGGATAGAAAGCACAACAAAAAATGTTACCTCTCCTGCTTTGCTATAGTAAGACACATATTTGGTTTTTATTTGTTTCAAGACACACAACCACACACACATATATATATCTGTACTAGAGTCTCTTTCAAACGAAAAAAAAAAAATCGCTGCGCATGCGCAGCCGTTTAACGAGCGGCACGTCACCTGGTTATCTGGAGTCACGCACAATTACATCTGTCGTACAGATATATAGAGAGGAGAACGCTACGCAGCCGGCTACTTGTGATTCCGGTAGTGGTTATTCACGAGGGAGTGGAGTCGAGACATCAAAGATCGGGGTTGACTTCCACAGTCATATGTGTTTACCTTTAAGCACACTTCTATTAACAGCAAGAGTCACACTTCCACTGTGTCACAGGTAAGTTGACAGCGTTTATTTGGCGTGTATGTGGATGCGTTTCGCACGACTGTTATCTTTTTTATTGTACACATTTTGAGTTTTCACATTTGTAAATGTGTCAGAATTCAGTCAGGTGCTGCTTATTTGAAGCCCTTGTGTTGTCGCGGGTTGCCGTCACAGAAAACAATACTGAATCGAGTGTTTTCTGATATGACTGTTATTGGTTTCATGTTTTGTTCACGTTTGATAGGTTCCCAGATACACACTACCGCTACATACACACACGCGCGCTTCAGCATGCATCGTACATACTGGTATGTCTGCAAA